GTAGATTACAGGCCATTTTCCCCTCTACATGAAAATTTGTACATATTTAAATAGTTTTCTTAAGAAAGTGTCAGAAATCTGGGTTTGTTCCTTGCCTCTCCTTTCCTTCCCCTTCGATTATCATTTTATTATCCCAGACATTGGAACTTTTTATTTATGGTCTATAGAATTAGAGTATAGTTACCTAGGATAAGTATATTTTTATTTGGATAAACAAGTTCAAAAATAAAATGAAAACAAGAAGAAAATAGATTGGGTTTTCTGCATTGGTGACACCTGAGCTTAGTTCAATTTCTTAAGCAGCTGGAGTTGGTTTCATTTAATTCTTTGGAAAGTTACTGGCCTGAGTGTGAAAGCACCTGCAAAAAATGAGTCATTTCAGATCCTGGGCATGGATCTACTGCCGGGAAGGGAGTAACACAATATCCATGCAGTATTCCTTTCTTCTTGGAGAGAATGCAGGTGCAGTGGCATACCCCAATAATGTGTCTTTGCATATATTTAAGAAACAGTAAAAAAGCAAAATGACTCTGAACACCAACTTACATATACCTTTTCAGACTAAGCTTTTATTTTTAATATTACAAACCAGTTTTCTTTATTCACAAACCACTGTAGTGATATAAACACTAATTTCTAAAGACAGATATACACATTTTCTGGGTTTGCAGATTTTTTTGTTGTTTAGAAGTCACTATATGCCACACATGGTATTAATTTTTCCCATAATTCATAATATCAGTAGTTATTTATATAAGTGAAAACATTCCCAACATATACTGTAAAAAAAAAAAAAACCTTTTTTCTTACATCTCAGACATACATTTTAAAATGACTTATTGGAGTCTTGTAAGGAGCTTTCTAAACAAAATATTCTGCATCATTGGTTGGCACCCACATCTTTTAAATAATTTTACTAAAACCACTTAAATCATGGGGGGAAGTGCATCTCATCAGTGGAAATCAAAATTGCAAATAAATTTGGTTATTACCAACATATTTATAATTTGGTGTATGTAATTTCAAAAAAATATGGCATTTCCACATTTTTCATTTGAAGCTACTTAGGAAAAAGAAGTTCCCATTTTATTGTCCCAATTGGGATGCCTTAGCATTTTGGTAAATTTGATTTCCTTAAAAATATTATCCAGGCCACTTGTCTTTTCACACATTTGGTTTTACAGGTGGAGGAATGACCATGTCATATTAGTTCTATATCATTCCTCAACCAGTGGAAATTAATGTTACGTACCCTTTTTTTTGTTCATTAACATCTTTCTCTTTTTGAGATGTTTATTTTCAGTCTTAGATATCAATGCTACAGAAACTTTGTTTTCAAATCTTGTGAAACTTTATTGATGGTTTATTGTCCAACTGATCATATTGCATGCACATACGATGACAAGAGGAAGCTGGATCACAAACACTTTTTTGTTTTTGTTTTTGTTTTTTTTGTTTTTGTTTTTGTTTTTTTTTTGTTTTGTTTTTTTGTTGTTGTTGTTAAAGCAGAGTTGTTATAGCAAGTTGGCAGGTTCACAGCGGTGAGTTGATAACTTAGTAAAGTGCATGCCATAAGGCATGCACTAGTACACATGAGAATATAACTATTAGCAACAAAACTGTAGCGAGACAGTTTCCTGCTTTATTTCTTTAAATACAAAAAACAGGAAGACCCGTGACAAACACCCCAACTTAGGTTAACTTGTAAACAGGACAACATGGAAAGAGTCCAAACATATGCACAGACAAACTGCAAGTTTTTCAACTGTGTTTGAATCTGCCACCTTGGCCCCTTCCCCAGGTTAAGTAGATGAGCTTCTAAGCAACCCAGGTGTGAGTCACTTTCATGCATGATGCTCTAGAAGGAGAAGATAGCCCTACTTTTGCTCCCATCTGAAATTTGTCCTGGGCCTGACAATGAACAAAAAAGATGTTGGTTTGGATTTCTTTTTTTTTGTGGGTGGGTGGGGTACAGAAGGAAGGGGACAGGTTTTCACGGATTGAAAAATTGCAGATTGTTTACACGACACAGTCATGTTTCAAAAAGTACCAAGCTGATGAAAATACCATGATTATCTCTACTCAATGATTGCAATACTTGTAAAATGCTTATATAAATTTGAATATGATTATCATGTAATTCCATAAAAATGATACGTCTGTCTCTAACAGTTGTTCTACTAGGCTAAATCTAAAGCTTCATAGGCTGTGTTTCTAGAACTTAACAACTCCACTGCACAGATGTAAATTTTATACATTTTTTTTACTGGTACAAAGAATTTAAGTTTTTATTACTTTCTTTTTTGGAAAAAAAGAAAAAAATAGAAACAGTGCTTTTATCACCTTTTATTAATGTTTTTTTTCCCTCCCATAATATAAAAGTCAGCAATGATATCAATAATTTATTATACTGGAAGAAATATAAAAAGAATGCTTATTAATGGCCTAACTAGCAGTTTTTGCCTAAATAACTAGTTATGGTTAAATAGCTGAATACTGCCTGGTGGAATGGTTTAAAAGGGTGGGCTTGGACAGCTTTAATCAGATTGTATGTACAAGTGTCTCTAGAAGCACCCCCTATAACAACATAACCTTTGGCTTGGAACAAACAAGTGAATAATTTACGACAGTTGATAAATGATAGTTGGTGCAGTGGGGCCCGTTTTAACTTCATCAATTTAGTTACTTTTTTTTAGCCAACCCCCTCCCCCAGTCCCTTTATCCCTGTTTCCCTCCCACCCCTCCCTTTTCATAAACTAAAATAAATGTAGATGCAGAAAAAATGACTACTGTAGTCACTTACACTCTTACAAAACATGTGATAATCCCAATAGCTTAATATTCAGCATATATAATTCATTTACATGATATAGCACTCTTGATTGTGGCCCTAAAACAGTTTTTATTCATATCTAGCAGCTTTCTAGATCAACCACAAAAACTTCTACAGCCAGCAATCAAACTACGGAACCTTCAGAAATTAAAGACCCACAATATTAAAATACACAGAACAAAATATCTGAGGTATAAGATAAAAAATGTAATTTTTTTCCTCTTTTTTAGAGTTGCTAAAATGATGCACTACTGCATGTATTGCAATACCCGGGCCTCGGAAAGCTTCCTTTCTCCCCACATTGGAAGGTTTTTATGGTTTTGTCATTTAGTATGGAGCAAAACGGCTGTATCCCCCTCGGTATATACTAGCCTGTAATGAAGAAAGAACGAGACCCACATCATCAGCATGGCTCCTAGTCTTGGCATCAGTCAAGGGTGCAAAAGCATTCTGAAACAAAGCAATTTGATGGATTGTTTTTTACATTTTACTTTTTTAACAAGTGGATTAGCAAAAAGCCTAATGTTTAAAATAAATTTTTAAAAAAAGAAAATGAAAAATAAGCAGAGAGTGCATGGGAGGCTTTGGGTATACTTTGCTCCTTCCCATCCATCCCCAAATTCCACACTAGTATACTTATCAGCCCTAAAAGGGTTACTCAGATCATAATTGTTCTAAGAAAGCCAACTCTGAGGGAAATCTTATTTCAAGAAATCCCATTATTATGAAAATATGTAGAATCTCTATAACCAGGAGACTTCCAAGCCCCAGGTCATAGCTCTCTTTGAAGAAGATATGAGACACTGAAATTTAATTGTAATAAAATTATTTTGATTTTAAACAGTCCCTTGGAGTTTAATGAGATGGAAGCGGACTTAAAACTGGAGAAGAGGAAGTGGTCTCTATTTACTTGTCTCTACTATTATAGACTGGACCTTGACTACACTTTTTTTTTTGGTGGAAAAAATTAATATAATTGGTTGAATTCAAACAGCTGGCTGTTTGACTATAAATTAGATTTTTGTCTGTCTACTACTATCTCCAAACTATTTTTTGGTGCAATCATAACTGTACTTTATATTATGGTAGATCAAAGTAGAGACAGCAGTATGGAATAGTGGAGAGAGCCCTGGATTTGGAATCAAAAGATTTGGGTTTAAATGATAGGTCTGCTACTTACTACCTATAAGACATCATCCTTCTGCCCTTAATAAATAAAGGTTAAGTTAAATAAAGTTTAAGTTAAATAAAGGTTAAGAACTCTTAATCTAGTCTGTGTTCTGACTCCTTTAGCAGCTTGGCAAGGCATTCTCAGAATGTTTTTAAATGCATAAATAAAATAAATAGGATTACAAAGTAAACCATTGGTATAGAAATAAAGATGTATCTTTTTTTCCTGTTCAAGTTCATGGACCCCCCCTGAAATCTATCCATGGGCTCCTTAGGTGGTCTGTAAATCCAACATTAAGAATTCCTGGTTTGGATGATCTGTCTCTAAGACCGCTTCCAATTCTAGGTCTTTAATAGGACTCAAATCATTCATTCATATTATTCTGAGTCAGTGTCAGTTCTACCGCTTAGTAACTTGGGCAGTCCATTATCTCTTCTTTCCTTCCTTTTTAAGTGGGTGGAATGGAACTTCAAAAATACTTTGAGAAGGTAGTTGGAGGGAAAAAATAGTTGATGTAGGTAAGCTTGTGCTGAATAGCTTCTAAGTAATGGCTATATTTCTATAACCAAACAAAAAGTAATTTCCCATTATGACTAACAATGGGCACATCATGGCACGTAACTGATTACTTTCTCTTGCAAAAGTACTGGCAATTCAATTGAAAACCTAGGAGGACGTGTTTCTGAGATGTGATTTAAATCTTTGATCTAAGCAGAAGACTGTTTGCCAAAAGCATTGTAATGATTGCATACGCTTTCATGTGATGGACACATCTTACTGTACTCAGAATTTTAGTGCATAGAATTTCAAACAAGTACACACAAATTTATCCCCACCCCTACCTCCCATTTTTAACTCCTCCCCAATTCATCACCAAACAAAAAACAAACAGAATCAAGATAATCCATTCCATTCTAATTATACTTATGAGCCAGACACACACACACACACACACACACACACACACACACACACACTCACTCTATGTTCCTCTCTCTATTTTCTTTCTTGGGCGACTATCATTTTAAACATGAACTGTAATATGGGAGGAGGAACAGTCAGGTTTTCAGCTGCCTGACAGTAGAGGCCTGGAAATCTGCAGCTTAGCTCCTCTGTAGTCTGTGGTGGGACTTGAACCTTGGGGCTATGTGAATGAAAAGCAAGGGAAAAAAAAAAAAAAAAGAAAAAAAAAGGTCTGCATTGACACTGCATTCCGTTAGTGATGGATTTAATTATCAAAATGACTAATTATTCCATTAAGGTAAGTGCTCAGCTAGGTGATACTTGCAAAATTAGAAATATAATAACTTACATGCACTACATTGCCAAGAAATTAAGACATTTATCAAGTTTACTGGGAGGATTAATGTGGCATTTTAGCTGCCGTTAGCACAAGAGACAAATTCAATTAAGGGAAAGTGAGAAGACGTCAACCATGCTAAGATTCCAGCTGGGGGAAGGGCAAGGGAGGAAGGAAAATGAGGAAGAGGAGGAAGGAGTCACTCACCATGGCACCAACGCCGTAGGTGGGGGCTGGAGCAAGTGTGTGGTGGTAGGGGTCGGCAGCATAAACTCGTCCGTAACTGAAAGGGAAACATAACTGAAGATTAATCAATAATAACTGTTTGCCCAAAACAAAACAAAGCAAAACAGAAACAAACAAAAAGTGGATTTTTTTTGAGGGGAACGGGGGTGAGAGGGTGGAAGGATAGGTGAATCTCTAGAAATCAGAAATACCATGATTCTCTTCCACAATCTGACAAGTAAATTCCGTATATAGATTGTATTTTCCATACTGCTTATCCAGCTGTCTCAGAGATTCGAGGGAATGGGCAGGAAGAGAATGACCAACTTTTTAGAGCTATTTGAAGAGGTCTGCCTTCCCAGAGTTAGGGGGACAGGATTTCCCCTCTCCCCTATTTTAAAGTTTTTATGCCAGTGCAGCAGGGTAAAAAGAGGGATAAGTCTTATTTTTGGATGTTGGAATTCCAAGGACAGAATAAATGTGTTTAAACAAAGCTAAAGGTATCTTTGATGGATGCTATTTTAACTTCATGGAGCCTCTGCCTTCCCCAATACTCCATTTCTTCCCAGCCAAAAACCAAAACATTTTGGGCTTTGGGATTGTGTCTAGACATTCTTTACTATCTTTTTTTTTTCCAAAGAAAAAATAAAGCTGAGAAACCATGCTAGATTTTAAACCTGTCATCCCTAAAATTTGATGCTGATGACTTGTTGCCAGGGAATTGAAGGAAGAGCAGATAATAATACGCATAGGGATTGAACTTGTGATTTCATTGGCATAGGGACTTCCAGGTAAGGAAACTCCCTCTACCAATGTTGGTCAGTGCCTACTCAATAACACAGTTTTAGAATTGTCTAGGGGCAATAGGAAGTTGTCACTTGTCCAGAATCTTCTAGTCAGTTAAATCCAAATCTTTTTTGGCCTCCAGGCTAGCTCTCTATTCACTACAACACACAGCCTTTCTAGCTAATAATAGGCTACTTTTATGTAGTACAGTAATGTTTACAATGAACTTTACATAAATTATCACATTTGAACTTGACATCTACCCTGTGAGGTTTTAATTCAAGTAATAATATTACCATTTTACAGATAAAGAAAATGAGGTTCAGAGGTTAAATGACTTCCCCAAAGTTATAAGGCTATTATGTGGAAGAGACACTCTAGAACCCAAGTTTTATCAATCTAAAACCACTGTTCCTTCTGCTACAAGGAATAAAACTAATCCATCAGAGTTCTTCAATGATCACCTAAGGATTTCTTTTGTTTCCAGAGCATATAGTACAGGGCTCATGGACATAATGAGTATACCTTTAATGGACATTTGTTGAATGGTTTTGTTGCTCTGCCCAACTTCTTCCTCAAGGCAGTTTGATGTGGCAAGTTCACACTATTTGTGAAGCCAAGTTGGGTTACTGTTCTCCTCAAACTGATGTTGGGAATTGAAGTATAAAAAGATGTTGTTAGGAGCACTTTCTGAACAAGAAAGACTCATCCTTGAAGGACAGAAGAATCATTGGCCTTGATAGTGGTAGAAATGGAAAAGCTATTTATATTAACTCATTATTAACAAGACCAGTCAGCCTCCAAACCTCTTTCTCAAATTTCTGATCCTTCCTACTCCCTCCTATACCCAGCTCTCTAGGCAGCTGGCCTATCCAGGAAATCCATCCAGAAAAACAGAGGTAGGAGGACAAATCACAACCACTGTGGATACCTTCCTCTCACTACTTCTAGGTTACTGGATTTCTCCCATGGTCTAGATGAAATGTAAGTCACCATCTCTCTTCTTTCTGGTAATATGGAAGACCAGCAGGCCTTATAATCTGCCCTTTCTGTATAACTTTCAAACCCCCTGCACTATCATCTGACCTAGTTCTATAACCTAAGGGCTCTGGAACATTTTCATCCATCCTGCAGCTGATTTTTTTTTTTTGGCTCCCCCAATTAGAATATAAGCTCCTTGAGGAAAAGGTCTGCCTTTTTTTTTTTAAACTTGTATCCCCTGCACTTAGCAGAATGCTTGGTAAATGCTTTTTCATTCACTGAGTCATTGATTCATTCATTTATCTTTTCATGAGTGTGGGCCCAGTGCTGCCTGCTCCCATTTGAAGAATATTGCAGATGGAACTGCTTCATTGAGCAGCTGGTTGCAGTAGATGACCTCTAATGCTTAGTTCCGTTCTGAGATTTTCACATAGTAGAGAGAGTGCTGGATTTAGAGTCAGGAACAACTGAGTTCAACTCCTGCTTCTGACACTAGTTATGTCACCATGGGCAAGTCATTCAATTTCTATATACCTGAATTTCCTCATCTGTAAAATTAATGGTTGCTTCAGATGGTCTTTAAGGTCCCCTGGAGCTCTGTGATCTTATGACCTCAGGAAAATCTCTTAATTGTGTCAGGTTCTTATAATGGAAAGCCCACCCTGGGGTAGCTAAGTGGCACAGGGATAGAATAGTGGGGCTGATATCAGGAAAATTTGAGTTCAAATCCAGATTCAAACATTACCAGCTGTGTGACTCTAGGAAAGTAACCAAAATGGGAATAATAATAGCATCTACTTCCCAGGACTGTTCAGAGGATCAATGAGACAATATTTGTAAAGCACTTCTCATAGAGCTTGGCCCATAACAGGCATTTAATGAATGCTTATTTCATCCATCCAGTCACCAAGCCTCCATCTCTGATCCATCATCAGTTGTGAATATAATTCAACCTTTTATAATATAGCATCCTTTCAAAGAATATTCCCTAGATCAAAATTATTTCATAGTCTAGGCAGAATACCTACCAGCCTCAGTGCCAAGAGAGCTTGCAACAGAGTTATCCTTATTTTCATGAAGAAAAACTAGGACTGACAATTGAACATTCTTTGAATCAGATAATAAGGCAGTTTGATAGAGTGGATACCACTTGTCAAGAAACCTATATTCTTAATCTTAGATCTGTTTTCCCTACTAATTCATTTTGAAATGTTGTGCAAGACAAATCCTGAGTTTCTTCATCTGTATAATGAAGGGGCTCCTTTCAACACTAACATTCTATAATTCTGCATTATATCTTTACTGACCTCTGTTTCTCAATGAAACTTAAGAATATCCAAATCCTGCACCAATTTCTCCTTTCCTTGGGATTTTTCATCAAGCTTTTTTCCTTGGAGGGAGAGGGGAATGTCCTCAAGTTCTGAGGGCCAATATAAGTGGCATAATCACTCTCAGAAGGAACAAAACACATAGGCTGCTTAATTTTCTGAACCTCATATGCACACGTAAAAAATACTTAATGAAAACTCTGGTTTCAGAAACAACGTCTAAGGTAGTTTTGATGAATAGTTGGTTGTAGGGGAAATAGAACATTAGTAATTTTTTTCGTAAAAGTAGATATGATCAGTGATCCTGGGGAAAAATTCTAATAAGAACTTGTAAAAATATATTTCATCATCTGTATTAACATGTTCATATTATATATACAAAACCATAACATCAAATATTTCAGGTCAAACTCAGAAAACTTCATGTCATGACAAACCCTAGTAACGAATTTCCCAGAAAAAAAGACCACAAATTAAATTCAACTTTTAAATTCTTGAAAATTTTGGTTTCAAATATACTGATTACTCTCCCCACTTCCTAATGTAGAAAATAATTCTGCAACTTGCACAAGATTAATGAAAACAAACACCTTTCTTCTATTACATATGCTAGCAGTAAATTGTTACTTGTGAAAATACTGGGGTCCTAGCCCATTATGAAGAGTTCACACTAACTATTTGGCAGCATATGCTTCTAGGGGGAAAAACAAGTAGGACTGAAATAGTCCCCTGTAATAAATAGACTCTTTCTCCTCAGGGTGACCTCTACCTTCAGAATGTGATGGTTTTATTATGATTAATAAATTTCATTTCCACAGAGGAAAAAGGAACAGTGTCAGCTCAAACTTAAAGCAAGAAGTCTTCTTTTTAAATGCTAATTTCTAAACATGCCCTTGTATGACACTAAGATTTAGACACAAGGTTATTAGGGAAGATTCGGACTCTATCATTACATTTGTGGTGGATATTCCAGGCATATCAATAACCTGATATCCTTACAACAGGCTAAATGCTAACCAAAGGTACATAGTCAATTCGCTTAGATTTAAATAAGAGTGATATGAGACTTCCTTATTACCAAATTATGTCCTGAACAATAACATTGATTGAGTCCTGCTCTATTTTTTGAGGATTTGGGGTGATTCTTCTGTCTTTCATCTAGACTAATCATAAAGTAAGCGATCCAGGATAAATTAAGGCTAGCTTTTGTTTTCTTTTTTAAATTATGGAAATATAAAGCACAGATTCATGAATTGCAGAAGATTGAGCTATAGGTTAATGAAAGCTGCTAGTGGAGGAGGAAGAAGATGTGTAAGAAATGAGAAAGTACCATAGTAGTAAAGGTCCTTATTGATTTATTTTCTAGCATTTCTAATTTTACTCTCAATAACGTAATACTTAAGCCCACTTTGAGGTATTCAGAAATAAGTTATCTTTGTATTGGAGATAGGAAGTCCACAATTTCACAAAATCCCAGAGAAAGCAGTGTTTTGCAAGGTAATACAATGGGTTATTTTTGCAAATACAGTGACCGAATATCCAAGTGAAAAAAAAAACACTAAATTCTTTTAAACTGCAAAAAACTAGCTTTACTTGGCTAGGATAGTAAGAATCATCTATAAACTGTGCTTGATACAGTTTCATTATAGCACGAGCTGGCAGAGCATGGAATTTACAACAACATAGTATCTCAGTCCCACCCAAGGTGTTCAGTTTTCAGGAATACCAGAATAGCCTTGGTATAGTCAAAGTTTACCACATGCTCCTCCAGCATGGACACAAAGGTAGCTTTGGAATGAGAGCTGAATCTGTTTAAATATATGCCCTTAATCTATTGTTTTTGATACTATTATGCAGGGCAATGAAACATGTCCACTGATGATATTTTGTGAAAGTGGCTTGTATCTGAGGGACACCAACCAAGTTCAAAGTACATGTTGTTATGCTTCTTATTTCTCAACAG